TTATTATGATGTATACACTATAGCTAATCTCATAGCGTAATAAACTACCTTAAAACTCCACCTGACGAATTCTTAGAAGATTATTTGCACATTAGACTGTGGTGACATTTAGGTGAGATTTTCTTAATCGTATTTAATCACCACAAACCATAATCTAAGGATCAAGGACATAGAAATTGCTTGAAGGGTTTGGGCTGGTATTCCAACCGACGCCATTGAGGTATGACACGGGTATTGTGATCCTTTCACTGTATGTCGGCCTTGTGTGTAAACACGACATCATCAGTTTCTCATCTCCTCAGTCTGCTAAGCCAGCGCTGTTATAGATTCACATTTAAAGATGAGGCTGAGGTAGAAATTGCTCTTTGATGTTGTGTGTGAGCGGTGTGATAATACCCATGTCAACACCCAGCATACAGGCAGAGGTTCTCCACTCCGGGGCCCCACTGCACTCACTTGTCTGTGGGTGACAAGTTCAGTTTTAGTAACATTTAAACAGTGGGGAGGGCTGACTATATAGCCTTGCTCCAAGGCTATACTGAAAGAAAAGTCCATGGATGTGTCGTAAGTTTATCCTCCTAAGAAGCAAGTCTAGATATTGGGACAGTATAGCCTCTAAGGACTCCAGTCTCTTTTAGGGATAACTTGTTCTTATTGTTTACATAATCTAGAAATTATGATTTGAACTAATTAGTATTGCCTTAGAGACTTGTGCAAGTGTAGGCTGACTGCATTGTTGCCTGTATTGCTATCAGTAATGCTGGCATCATGTAACAAGTGTGGTGTGGATGGTGACTGTTTGATTGAGGTTTCTCAATATAGCATGTCTGTCACATGCAGGTGTAATTAAATTGTCAGTGTTTCCAAGTGCTCACACTCCATTAACGTTATAAGTTTTTTTAACATCCTTTGTCATGGAATACGGATAACACCTTCAGAGGGCGGCCTGTTTTAATTTCAGGCAAAAATACTCGAACTGCATACAGGGACAATATTTTAAGTCATTACTTCTCGTTTGTTGTCTTTGTTCAAGGTTTGGCTGGGGAAGCTGCATTGTCAGTCGTGTATCTGGTGTATTCTACACTTTTATTTAATCAGGGTTAAACAGTTTACTTGATGCAGATGCAGGGCATGATTAGAAACACTTTTCACTTGAAATCTCTTTGCTCCAAACAACAATAAACAGTAGATAAAAGAATATTTCTCCCCCCCCCCCCCCAGCATAGTCATCATCTGGTCTGTCTTTCAGTCCGTCTGTATTTCGTCTCCAGAAAGTAACTTGAGAACCGTGCAAGAGTTTTCATCCAAACTTGTGCCTTTTACTATTTTTGAATTTTTAAAATTTTTCCTTTTTTCTTGATTCCACGTTAGACTTAGCTGAAACGAAGGTAGGAGTCATTTACCTCTGTTTAGGTTTCATTTCCTGAGCAGAACTTAAAAAACCTAGTCAACATTTTTCATTCAAACATGTATTAATCAGGGGCTGAAGTGGTGCCTTTTGCAATTTTGGAAATTTTGGAGAAAAAACATTTCCTGTTTCCATGGCAACAAGGTTGACTTTGACTCTGTTGATAGTTGTGTGTTTATCCGGACCATTTCTCTGAAACTAATTGCAACTCTTTCTTGAAACATTGTACACAAGGACCAGGTTGTCTACTGGTGCCTTTTCCTTTAAAGGGATTTTTATAATCTAGAATTTTTCTGTTTCCATGGCAACAAGTTTGAATTTGACCATACCTCTGAAACAAGTAGTCTTTCATGAAACATTGCACACACAAAGACCAGGTTGTGAAGAGGTGCTTTTTGCTATTTAGGGGCGTTTAGAATTTATATTTTTTTCATTTCCATGTCACCATGTTTGACTTTGACTCATATTGGTTCATATTGATGTGTACCTGACTTAGAAATACGAAGTTTCATCTCCCAATTCCATGGTATTGCTTTGATAGCTCAACAACTACTCTTGTATACGGACAGACAGATTAGATAGAAATTCTCTCATCAATTTGGACTTAAAGTAACAGTCAGACGACTTGTTCTTTCGAATTTGTGGGGGCCGGGGGGATTTGTCATCTTTTGATGACTTTTGTCTTTTTATGAATCCACTTAATAAATCTCTTATATTGTCCCTCTGCCACTGTACCTGGTGTGATGTCTCTGTACCTGTGTGTTGTAACTGCCCCTGTACCTGTGTGTTGTAACTGCCCCTGTACCTGTGTGTTGTAACTGCCCCTGTACCTGTGTGTTGTACCTGTGTGTTGTACCTGCCCCTGTACCTGTGTGTTGTAACTGCCCCTGTACCTGTGTGTTGTAACTGCCCCTGTACCTGTGTGTTGTAACTGCCCCTGTACCTGTGTGTTGTAACTGCCCCTGTACCTGTGTGTTGTACCTGTGTGTTGTAACTGCCCCTGTACCTGTGTGTTGTAACTGCCCCTGTACCTGTGTGTTGTACCTGCCCCTGTACCTGTGTGTTGTACCTGCCCCTGTACCTGTGTTGTCACTGCCCCTGTACCTGTGTGTTGTAACTGCCCCTGTACCTGTGTGTTGTACCTGCCCCTGTACCTGTTTGTTGTACCTGCCCCTGTACCTGTGTGTTGTAACTGCCCCTGTACCTGTGTGTTGTAACTGCCCCTGTACCTGTGTGTTGTACCTGCCCCTGTACCTGTGTGTTGTACCTGCCCCTGTACCTGTTTGTTGTTCCTGCCTCTGTACCTGTGTGTTGTAACTGCCCCTGTACCTGTTTGTTGTACCTGCCCCTGTACCTGTGTGTTGTACCTGCCCCTGTACCTGTTTGTTGTACCTGCCTCTGTACATGTGTGTTGTACCTGCCCCTGTACCTGTGTGTTGTACCTGCCCCTGTACCTGTTTGTTGTTCCTGCCTCTGTACCTGTGTGTTCTACCTGCCCCTGTACCTGTGTGTTGTTCCTGCCCCTGTACCTGTGTGTTGTTCCTGCCCCTGTACCTGTTTGTTGTTCCTGCCCCTGTACCTGTGTGTTGTAACTGCCCCTGTACCTGTGTGTTGTACCTGCCCCTGTACCTGAGTGTTGTAACTGCCCCTGTACCTGTGTGTTGTAACTGCCCCTGTACTTGTGTGTTGTACCTGCCCCTGTACCTGTGTGTTGTACCTGCCCCTCTACCTGTGTGTTGTAACTGCCCCTGTACCTGTGTGTTGTAACTGCCCCTGTACCTGTGTGTTGTACCTGCCCCTCTACCTGTGTGTTGTAACTGCCCCTGTACTTGTGTGTTGTACCTGCCCCTGTACCTGTGTGTTGTAACTGCCCCTGTACCTGTGTGTTGTAACTGCCCCTGTACCTGTGTGTTGTAACTGCCCCTGTACTTGTGTGTTGTACCTGCCCCTGTACCTGTGTGTTGTAACTGCCCCTGTACCTGTGTGTTGTAACTGCCCCTGTACCTGTGTGTTGTAACTGCCCCTGTACCTGTGTGTTGTAACTGCCCCTGTACCTGTGTGTTGTACCTGTGTGTTGTACCTGCCCCTGTACCTGAGTGTTGTAACTGCCCCTGTACCTGTGTGTTGTAACTGCCCCTGTACCTGTGTGTTGTAACTGCCCCTGTACCTGTGTGTTGTAACTGCCCCTGTACCTGTGTGTTGTAACTGCCCCTGTACCTGTGTGTTGTAACTGCCCCTGTACCTGTGTGTTGTACCTGCCTCTGTATCTGTGTTATAACTGCCCCTGTACCTGTGTGTTGTAACTGCCCCTGTACCTGTGTGTTGTAACTGCCCCTGTACCCGTGTGTTGTACCTGCCCCTGTACCTGTGTGTTGTAACTGCCCCTGTACCTGTGTGTTGTAACTGCCCCTGTACCTGTGTGTTGTAACTGCCCCTGTACCTGTGTGTTGTAACTGCCCCTGTACCTGTGTGTTGTAACTGCCCCTGTACCTGTGTGTTGTACCTGCCTCTGTATCTGTGTTATACCTGCCCCTGTACCTGTGTGTTGTAACTGCCCCTGTACCTGTGTGTTGTAACTGCCCCTGTACCTGTGTGTTGTAACTGCCCCTGTACCTGTGTGTTGTAACTGCCCCTGTACCTGTGTGTTGTAACTGCCCCTGTACCTGTGTGTTGTAACTGCCCCTGTACCTGTGTGTTGTAACTGCCCCTGTACCTGTGTGTTGTAACTGCCTCTGTATCTGTGTTATACCTGCCCCTGTACCTGTGTGTTGTACCTGTGTGTTGTACCTGCCTCTGTATCTGTGTTATACCTGCCCCTGTACCTGTGTGTTGTAACTGCCCCTGTACCTGTGTGTTGTAACTGCCCCTGTACCTGTGTGTTGTAACTGCCCCTGTACCTGTGTGTTGTAACTGCCCCTGTACCTGTGTGTTGTAACTGCCCCTGTACCTGTGTGTTGTAACTGCCCCTGTACCTGTGTGTTGTAACTGCCCCTGTACTTGTGTGTTGTACCTGCCTCTGTATCTGTGTTATACCTGCCCCTGTACCTGTGTGTTGTAACTGCCCCTGTACCTGTGTGTTGTAACTGCCCCTGTACCTGTGTGTTGTAACTGCCCCTGTACCTGTGTGTTGTAACTGCCCCTGTACCTGTGTGTTGTAACTGCCCCTGTACCTGTGTGTTGTACCTGCCTCTGTATCTGTGTTATACCTGCCCCTGTACCTGTGTGTTGTAACTGCCCCTGTACCTGTGTGTTGTAACTGCCCCTGTACCTGTGTGTTGTAACTGCCCCTGTACCTGTGTGTTGTAACTGCCCCTGTACCTGTGTGTTGTAACTGCCCCTGTACTTGTGTGTTGTACCTGCCTCTGTATCTGTGTTATACCTGCCCCTGTACCTGTGTGTTGTAACTGCCCCTGTACCTGTGTGTTGTAACTGCCCCTGTACCTGTGTGTTGTAACTGCCCCTGTACCTGTGTGTTGTAACTGCCCCTGTACCTGTGTGTTGTAACTGCCCCTGTACTTGTGTGTTGTTCCTGCCTCTGTACCTGTGTGTTGTACCAGGGTGTGTCTTGACTATTTTCCTCTGTGTTCGGCAGGTACATGCCCAGAGGGAGGAGAGCTACATGAAGCTGCAGAGTCATCGCCAGCATCTGCAGGAGGACAAGTATCTGATGAAGGAACACGAGAAGGAACATCTCCGACTCATCCGCATTGGGGCCAAGACAGATGTGGCCACCTCTGACTTGTACTAGAACACCACACAGACAGGGCCACCTAGAACACCACAGAGACAGGGTCACCAAGAACAGAACACAGGCATGGCTACCTAGAACACCACACAGACAGGACCACTTTGTACTAGAACACCACACAGACAGGACCACATCTGAACTTTGGGTTTTGACAAGGTCCCCTTGACTTTTATTCTTACTTTTGAACATTGATTCATTAATGTGCAACAAATTGTACTGTAGTGTGCAACAAATTGTCCTTAATCTGTAATGTGCAAGATTGGTTGGTTTGTTGTTTAACACCACACTCAGCAGTATTCCAGCTCTATGATGGTGGTCTGGACCAGACAATCCAGTGATTAATATCATGAGCATTGATCCGCGCAATTGGTCAGCGAGCCTGACCACCCGATCCTGTTAGTCGACTCTTACGACAAGCATAGTTGCCTTTTAGGGCAAGCATGGGTTTCTGAAGACCTATTCTACCCTGGATCTTCACGGGTCGTAATGTGCAAGAAGTAAGAATGACTTGATAGGCTTCCTTACACAGACATAGAAATATAACAAGCTGAAGAACATATGTTTACAGTATTGTTTGTTCCCAGTTGGAGGGGCATTGTGTCTATTCTTCCTTGCATCATTATGTAGCTCCCATAGACTGATGTATTGGCCCTGTAGAGGATACCTGATAAAGTATGTATGGTATCCCACAGGCTGGTAGAAGCTCGGGCTGATGAAGCGTTATCCGTATTTGCTATCACTATAAGGGCTAGTACATGTTTGAGTTGAGTATCATGGCTGTGTTTCAGTGTGGAACCCTCCCAGCCCTAGCTTTACCTAGGTTCTGAAACTGGGGGATTAGGCGGGGGTTTTTTGGTAGCCCTTGCCAGCTGGGTTACAGTCATTCAAAACAGTTTGTTGTAGTTTCAGCTCCGATTATATAGGTACACACTGGCACTTACTGTTTTAATGAAAATTATATGAGTGACGGGTGCTACTGGTAGAGCAGGACATGCTTACCTCTTTCGCAAACACCTGGTGTCATCACTGATTTTCAGTGATCCATTTATATGATTCTCATTACCATTTTGCCTTTACGCCTATGGAATCTGTTTCGGCTTTTATTCAAGACTGACTGTTCTCTGGTTATGATGTTTTTAGGTATCATTCTAACAGTAAATTATTATGCTTATGCTTATTACACTGAGACTGTCTGAGTACAAGATACTTACTACCAAGTCTTGACCTAGACCGGCTATGAACACCGTGGGGTATGGTCCTCTGTAAGGAGTTCAGTGGGTCTGTCTGGGGGGGAACAGCAGCTGTTCTTTTATTTTTTCGATTGCATTTGTTTGATTGACACAGCCAAAGACATGTTATACAAACAATATTTTACCATTTAAATTGTGTGCATTTTCAATTTTGCTTGTGTGTGTTCAATTTGAAGTTAGTAGTTTGTTCCTCATGAACATGTTGATGTCATACGAACTACCATTTTACAAGCCGATTCATGTGTTTTTTATATTGCCACTTAGTTTTTTTTCGAGCTTGTTCCATCATTTAGTGTGATGTGGCCTCCCACCTGGTTCAGCTCTCCCTGGTCCGGGGCTGACAGACCGGGTTATGATCATTATTGTTAGTGAACACTTCCTTGCTTAGAACCCAGGCACAACATGGCTGGTAGGTACAGGGTCAGCCATTCAGCTTTCAGATCAGCTGCTACCTAATCCATCTTTTTAATATGCTGCATGCTCCAAGAAAAATCTATTAGAAATTGTTGTGAAAGGTTGCGTTGATAAACTCCTTGATTGGAGAGTGAAAGTGAGTCTTGACCACGCCCACTGTGGCTGCCCCGCCCCCTGTTGTAATGGGGAGTGGAAGAGAGGGGAGCGTCAGGAGGGGGGACCACACACAGAGCTCCGCCATAACTTCCAACTAGCTGTATGGAAAATATTGTCGCCGATTTTATATGAAAGCAGTGTGTTGGGAAGCAGTACGCCTGGGGATGAAAAGACTAAATACAGAAGTCATGCATTAGTAGAATAAACTTTTCAATGGCATGTAAGTGAAGGACTTTATTTTGGCCTTCATTATTGGGTGAAGGGTTGCTTGTTAAAGTGTGCTGTTAACATTGTGAAATGGGAAATTGATAGTGTGGCATTCTGTTGTTGTATTTAATATTGCTGCTACATTAAGGCCACCGATGTTGTAGTGTTGCCATATAATCAACCCATACTATTGTGTGTGTACACATATCGCCAACCTTTGTCACATGTTTCCACAGAGTGAATGCACACAAGAATGGATGCCTGTATGAACAGTTTTCCTTATCATGTAATCCCACATGTATAGTGTCTTTCATATCATGTTATATATCTTCATGTTATGTTACACCATAGCTAGTTCACCTGGGGGTACAAGCTGTGCTATTGAGGCAGATGTATTACCTGTGAGCTCTGCCCTATATATGTGAATACACCCTGGGACTCTACAGGTGGGACATCGGGACCTTCATAATGGCCGACAACAGCTGTAGAGATTGTAAATGTTCTAATGTTATAGAGTTTAATTGTTAAACCTATTTTTTCCCTTTATGTTAAGATATCAGTAGGAACAGATTTTGTAATTGAGATTTTGTAGATAACATGTTCAGAGTTATGTCGTAGTCTGTCTCAGTATTACATTTTACATGATCTATATCAAAATGGTATTTGTTTTTATATCAATATGCATTTTACAACATACCACAGTATTTCTTGTGTTTATTTTGTGTGATATGATGGATTACCTTGCAGCATTTGACAAATTATATTTGCTTCTCAGTGACGATGTTTTTCTGTGTTTTTCTTGTTAGAGAACAGTGTTCTTTTACGAAAGGGTCGGCCGATTATATCACAAGTTTCATGAAACTATTACCCCAACAGATCTGTCATTAAAGATTCCTTTTGGGCTGTTTGAAGTAAACAGACTTTGACTATTAATATGAACAGGAGCTTTAACTTATTTCCTAGCTGTTTGTGCAAACAGGGTTTGGATGAGAAAAGTCTGTAAGGACCAGTGACTTTGGCTCGTGGAATACCGCTTTAACTATCATGTAACTCTGCCGCAGATCATTATTTTGGACTTGTGAAAATAAGAATAATTTCTAACCGAGAATAATCATGAAAGTAATTTGAAATTGAATGTGTTCATGACAATGTAGCGATGGTACTTGTTGTTGCCAGCTTCAGGGGTACAATCAATTGATGCTGTTACAGTTAGGACAGTGTCCAGGAAACGTTCACATCATGTACAGGATATATAGATCTTATACATAGTTTGTTGTCTGAAATGAGAAGAATTTAATTTTTATATCAGCATTTAATGAAACTGTACAGCATTATGAAGTATATCTGTGCTAGTGTGTAGAAGTATGTAGCTTGTGTAGACAGAATATAGTCAGCTAGTGTACAGTGGCCAATGGGCTGTGAATTGGATGGCATATATAACAATGAAATACATCGGCATTGCTTTTTTTACACTCACATCAAGATTTAATAATAATAATGATAATCCGTGTGTCTTGCACTGTTCCATGATGGATTTCATGCTCAAAACTTACCATTATTACAACGTTCAATGGATCTGTGTGCATTCAAATTTCACTCTCAGCTCCCTTGGGAGCCTACAACCAAAGCTACCCGCGAGGGCCAGCAGGTTAACAGTCACATCCTACTGGGTACCCATTCACTGGTGGGTTAACAGTGGCATCCTACTAGGTACCCATTCACTGGTGGGTTAACAGTGGCATCCTACTGGGTACCCATTCACTGGTGGGTTAACAGTGGCATCCTACTGGGTACCCATTCACTGGTGGGTTAACAGTCACATCCTACTGGGTACCCATTCACTAGTGGGTTAACAGTGGCATCCTACTGGGTACCCATTCACTGGTGGGTTAACAGTGGCATCCTACTGGGTACCTATTCACTGGTGGGTTAACAGTGGCATCCTACTGGGTACCCATTCACTGGTGGGTTTACAATGGCATCCTACTGGGTACCCATTTACTGATGGGTTAACAGTGGCATCCTACTGGGTACCCATTCACTGGTGGGTTAACAGTGGCATCCTACTGGGTACCCATTCACTAGTGGGTTTACAATGGCATCCTACTGGGTACCCATTTACTGATGGGTTAACAGTGGCATCCTACTGGGTACCCATTCACTGGTGGGTTAACAGTGGCATCCTACTGGGTACCCATTTACTGATGGGTTAACAGTGGCATCCTACTGGGTACCCATTCACTGGTGGGTTAACAATGGCACCCTACTGGGTACCCATTTACTGATGGGTTAACAGTGGCACCCTACTGGGTACCCATTCACTTGTTTGGTTAACAGTGGCACCCTACTGGGTACCCATTCACTTGTTTGGTTAACAGTGGCACCCTACTGGGTACCCATTTACTGATGGGTTAACAGTGGCACCCTACTGGGTACCCATTCACTGGTGGGTTAACAGTGGCACCCTACTGGGTACCCATTCACTGGTGGGTTAACAATGGCACCCTACTGGGTACCCATTCACTGGTGGGTTAACAGTGGCATCCTACTGGGTACCCATTCACTGGTGGGTTAACAGTGGCATCCTACTGGGTACCCATTCACTGGTGGGTTAACAGTGGCATCCTACTGGGTACCCATTCACTGGTGGGTTAACAGTGGCATCCTACTGGGTACCCATTCACTGGTGGGTTAACAGTGGCATCCTACTGGGTACCCATTCACTGGTGGGTTAACAGTGGCATCCTACTGGGTACCCATTCACTGGTGGGTTAACAGTGGCATCCTACTGGGTACCCATTCACTGGTGGGTTAACAGTGGCATCCTACTTGGTACCCATTCACTTGTTTGGTTAACAGTGGCACCCTACTGGGTACCCATTCACTGGTGGGTTAACAGTGGCATCCTACTGGGTACCCATTCACTGGTGGGTTTACAATGGCACATGTTGACTTCAGTCAATATTCAGTTCCCCTATTCCTCTGTAATGTTGATGTAATAGTGCAACAAGTGTATTGTTATTACTGTAATGACATTTTTGGAAGGTGAGAATGTCCACCAGATTTGTTACAGCTTGAAGTGTTTATTTATCAAAGACGATATTTGACTGAGTTGTTGTGATACTGTTCCTGAGCTATTGTTGATACACAGTTGAAATGTATTGTTTTAGTATGAGAGTTTTAGATGTACCTTATGCCTAGCTCTATTCAGAAAGTATTAATCCTTTTCTCTGAGTCTCCTGCATATTCTGCTTCTACAGCCTAACCACCATGTCGTGGTCTCTGATCAAAGCTGGCCAGGCGACTGGGCTCTCATTATCACAGTTACTGGGCAGAACGGCTATTAGGTGATACTGCATGTTTTCTTGGATAATATATTGTATTAGTTTAATATCAGACCAATGAAAGTTTGTATCTCTCCTTGTGCTGCCATTAAAGAGTTTACATTGTACATTAATGGAAATAAATTCAGGAAGTCTGTCAGATATGTGTTTGTTTCAAATATTGTAAATAGGTAAATTGTTTTGGTTGGTTTGGTGTTTGGTGTGTCAAATTTGGCAAATCTGACACCAAGGACATTAAAAGGTTTGGTGTCAATACCTGTGTGCATTACTGAAGTGAGGACTACTTCCTCCAGGGTAATCTCTATAGTGACCTTGACCTTCACATGGCAGGTTCTACCGGTAGAGCAGGACACGCTAACCGGTTTTGCGAACACCTGGTGTCATTAGAATAAGTAAATAAGGATTTATTGGTGTAGATCTTTTAAAATGTTTCCTCCTTTTTGGGGGACAAGTATATCTCCTCCTAAGTCATTAATGTATTTAACATTTGGAGTGTGCATTACTGTGATATTGTGCATTTCTTCATTTTTTTGTATTTCCAGTTGCTAATCTTGATTGCTCTATATGCAGCCACTTTGGTTGGATTTTGTCAGTTTTGTAAAGAAGTAAATCGTCAATAGTCCGGCTGATTGTTCAAGTCTTATATGTGCATTTGTTCTGCTCATGATATCAACCACAAGTAGTTTGGTGTCAGATGTCATGATTGTGACAGCTGAGTGTTAAGTTGATGATGTATGTATTAGATTGAATGGTAAAGTGAGCCATCAGCCCTGTCATAAGTCCTCTGCCTGAACATGACAATATTATTTTCGACATTTCGGTAACTTCAGGGTCCATGAAGCTGAAACTTCATGCGTGATCCCTGCAGTGGTGTCATGTCAGGTATTGCTCACTGGTGGACATCCTGTCCGGTATGAAACTGTTCGTGCAACACAACAGCCATGTGGAAAATGCCTTCACCAAGCCATGAATTTCTCAACATTTAATAACTGTATGGACAAAGTAACAGGTTAATATTAATGTGTATAGGTTTTAAACATTATTAGTTTTAACTTTGATTTCCCCCAGTTGATCCAGATATTGTTAGATAGAACACTACAACTACCTGGACACAGGGGAGCTGCATTAGCCTACTTACAAGTAGTGAAGGTATTATAACTGCCCCAAGCATGAAGTGATGAAGTGTCTTAAATGGTCACCCACATTGATGCCAAGTAGATGTAGAATCAAAACAATGTTTTCGTTACCAACCCATTTCTGGTGTTGCCTGCCGTGATGCTGTATGAATATCTGTAAAAGTGGAGTAAAATCTAATCACTCACTCACTCTTTACATGACCAATTTTCGCTTTCGGCTGAGTGCTGACATGAGACAGTGATGGTGCTTTGTCCTCCGTGCATCTTCCTGAGGCAAGGAAGTTAGCGGACTGTAAAAGTCCAGTTTTCATCCAAACTGGAACCGGAAGGACACCTTGACCACACACACTCACAGATCTCAGAATGGGGTGTCTGGGTCTGTCACTGATCACAGTTCTCAGGATGGGGTGTCTGGGTCTGTCACTGACCACACACACTCACAGTTCTCAGGATGGGGTGTCTGGGTCTGTCACTAACCACGATCACAGTTCTCAGGATGGGGTGTCTGGGTCTGTCACTGACCACACACACTCACAGTTCTCAGGATGGGGTGTCTGGGTCTGTCACTGACCACACACACTCACAGTTCTCAGGATGGGGTGTCTGGGTCTGTCACTGACCACGATCACAGTTCTCAGGATGGGGTGTCTGGGTCTGTCACTGACCACACACACTCACAGTTCTCAGGATGGGGTGTCTGGATCTGTCACTGACCAGGATCACAGTTCTCAGGATGGGGTGTCTGGGTCTGTCACTGACCACACTCACAGTTCTCAGGATAGGACGTCTGGATCTGTCACTGACCACACTCACAGTTCTCAGGATGAGGTGTCTGGATCTGTCACTGACCACACTCACAGTTCTCAGGATGGGGTGTCTGGATCTGTCACTGACCACACTCACAGTTCTCAGGATGGGGTGTCTGGATCTGTCACTGACCACACTCACAGTTCTCAGGATGGGGTGTCTGGGTCTGTCACTGACCACACTCACAGTTCTCAAGATGAGGTGTCTAGATCTGTCACTGACCACACTCATAGATCTCAGGATGGGGTGTCTGGATATGTCACTGAACACACTCACAGATCTCAGGATGGGATGTCTGGGTCTGTCACTGACAACACTCACAGATCTCAGGATGGGGTGTCTGGATCTGTCACTGACCACACTCACAGTTCTCAGGATGGGGTGTCTGGGTCTGTCACTGACCACACTCACAGAGCTCAGGATGAGGTGTCTGGTTCTGTCACTGACCACACTCACAGATCTCAGGATGGTGGTTTCTTCGTCTGTCACTGACCACGATCACAGATGTCAGAATGGGGTGTCTTGGTCTGTCACTGACCACACACACTCACAGATCTCAGGTAGGGGTGTCTGGGTCTGTCACTGACCACACACACTCACAGTTCTCAGGATGGGGTGTCTGGGTCTGTCACTGACCACACACACTCACAGATCTCAGGATGGGGTGTCTTGGTCTGTCACTGACCACACACTCACAGATCTCAGGATGAGGTGTCTGGGTTTGTCACTGACCACACACTCACAGTTCTCAAGATGGGGTGTCTGGGTCTGTCACTGACCACACACACTCACAGATCTCAGGATGGGGTGTCTTGGTCTGTCACTGACCACACACACTCACAGATCTCACAATAGGGTGTCTGGGTCTGTCACTGACCACACACACTCACAGATCTCAGGATGGGGGTGTCTGGGTCTGTCACTGACCACACACTCACAGATCTCACAATAGGGTGTCTGGGTCTGTCACTGACCACACACACTCACAGATCTCAGGATGGGGGTGTCTGGGTCTGTCACTGACCACACACTCACAGATCTCAGGATGGGGGTGTCTGGGTCTGTCACTGACCACACACACTCACAGATCTCAGGATGGGGTGTCTGGGTCTGTCACTGACCACACACACTCACAGATCTCAGGATGGGGTGTCTGGGTCGGTGTCCAGGGGATGCTGCAGTGTATGTAGGCCAGACTCTATCACATGTCATGTTGGCAACAAGAGCAACAGCTCAAGTGTGATAGGGGTGGTTGTGTGTCAACGGTTTGCCAACAATGGGCAAGTGCGTGCTATTGATGTATTCTCATTACACTTGTCTGATGTGTCTCACCATGCTAAGAATGACTCTCCCATCAGCTGTCCGTCCAACCATTTCCTTGGGTCTACTAATGTCACTTTAATGTGTAGATATCAATACCATCAGCATCACATCCCCACCTTAAAGAGATGATGATGATGCTGATGATGATATCTGCTGTTTCTGTGTCTTGTTACAGTGTGGGAAGCAATTATCTAGTAATTCTGCGTGTTTAACATCAGAGAAAACTGCTTTGTTAACCTTGATTTCCAATATACAATCTGGTTTTACGTTGCTATTAATGTTTGGTAATTCTAGGACATCTGCATGTTTGCATGTGTCTTGAATCTGTATTCTTTAATACAGCAATGTGGCAATCTCTAAATATTATGTAAAACTGTTTATCATCCAAAACTGGCTCCCACAGGAGATGTGGCTTGGGCGAGATCAAGCGTTATTACCCACGTGGTGAATGTCTTTGGCAAACCTCTGATTTCCCTCTTCCGAAATGGTACGGACATGATATAAAGTCAGCTGATAGATAAAGGAAACCGAATCATTTTGATTGCAGAGTCTGGGCCCCAGCAGTGCGAGTGACCGACTGTTGGTCCGATATTCAAAGCACCCCGCTTATGTGACTTTTCAAATTTTCTTATAGGTGTCCTGCTTACAAACATGCCGCTTGAATTACCAAAAGTAAAAGAAATTTTTCCAAAAGGATCTTGAGCGTCGATGCTGTTATGTTTGCAAACACAACTGCAGGCGCATGTTGTTAAATGCATATGCATAGAAATGTCAACAATGCCCATATTTGGGCATATATAAATATTCATGCGCAGCCAGATTTTGCAACCGGTTTCAGTTTGGTCTGTCAACAAACGAAAGTTGTTATGTATTTACTCTTTAATATATTTTTAACATGGGTAATAAGTAAAATACAACATTCATTCTCAGTAGATACCATTTTTATGAAACTTGTGAACTTTCTATGGGTCTGACCGAGCAAAAGCAAGGTCAGATACCACAGGAAGTCCACTCATTTCGTAAAAATGGTATCTAAGGAGAATGAGTGTAGTATTCTCTATATATCTACATTGTAGATATTGCTGCAATCAAATTGCATCACAATGTTTTGCAGACCATTGTGATGTCATTGGTTATTGCTTATTAATGTCTTCAAACTGAAAAAGGTGGAAGAATGATGTTGGATGATAATTAAAATCTCACCCTCGTGTCTTTTGATATCAAATATATCAACACTTGTAGATAAAAGTGCAAAAACTCCTTGGCAAGCCTTCGAGTTTTGCCTCTTTTATCAACTCATGTTGATATATGAAATATCAAAAGACACTCGGATGAGATTATGGATAATGAAGAGTAACATTAAAATTCAGAATATACCGAATATATCAATGACAGTTTGAATTTCTGCCTCTCTGTGCCCTGTGTGAACCTGAGGATTTCATGAGACATGAATGTACACATCACAGGTGTCTCTCTACTATGTTAGGTACTGGCTTCACTATCAGGTACTCCTACAATACCAGGTACTCTTTATGTCAGGTACTCTCCACTATGTCGGGTACTCTACTATGTCAGGTACTTGCTTTGTTATCAGGTACTCTGTACTATGTTGGGTACTCTACTATGTCAGGTACTTGCTTTGTTATCAGGTACTCTCTACTATGTCGGGTACTCTACTATGTCAGGTACTTGCTTTGTTATCAGGTACTCTGTACTATGTCGGGTACTCTACTATGTCAGGTACTTGCTTTGTTATCAGGTACTCTCTACTGTGTTGGGTACTCTACTATGTTGGGTACTTGCTTTGTTATCAGGTACTCTCTACTATGTCGGGTACTCTTCATGTCCGGTACTCCCCACAATGTCAGGCCCTCTCTCTACTATGTTAGGTACTCTCTACTATGTTGGGTACTCCCTACAATGTCAGGCCCTCTCTCTACTATGTCAGGTACCCTCTATACTATGTTAGGTACTCTCTACTATGTTGGGTACTCCCTACAATGTCAGGCCCTCTCTCTACTATGTTAGGTACTCTCTCTACTATGTTGGGTACTCCCTACAATGTCAGGCCCTTTCTCTACTATGTTGGGTACTCCCTACAATGTCAGGCACTCTCTCTACAATGTCAGGCCCTCTCTCTACTATGTTGGGTACTCCCTACAATGTCAGGCACTCTCTCTACTATGTTGGGTACTCCCTACAATGTCAGGCACTCTCTCTACTATGTTGGGTACTCCCTACAATGTCAGGCCCTCTCTCTACTATGTCAGGTACCCTCTATACTATGTTAGGTACTCTCTACTATGTTGGGTACTCCCTACTATGTTAGGTACTCTCTCTACTATGTTGGGTACTCCCTACAATGTCAGGCCCTTTCTCTACTATGTTGGGTACTCCCTACAATGTCAGGCACTCTCTCTACAATGTCAGGCCCTCTCTCTACTATGTTGGGTACTCCCTACAATGTCAGGCCCTTTCTCTACTATGTTGGGTACTCCCTACAATGTCAGGCCCTCTCTCTACAATGTCAGGCCCTCTCTCTACAATGTCAGGCCCTCTCTCTACAATGTCAGGCCCTCTCCCTACAATGTCAGGCCCTTTCTCTACTATGTTGGGTACTCCCTACAATGTCAGGCCCTCTCTCTACAATGTCAGGCCCTCTCTCTACAATGTCAGGCCCTTTCTCTACAATGTCAGGCCCTCTCTCTACAATGTCAGGCCCTCTCTCTACTATGTTAGGTACTCTCTACTATGTTGGGTACTCTACTATGTCAGGTACATGCTTTGTTATCAGGTACTCTCTACTATGTCGGGTACTCTACTATGTCAGGTACTTGCTTTGTTATCAGGTACTCTCTTCTATGTCGGGTACTCTACTATGTCAGGTACTTGCTTTGTTATCGGGTCCTCTCTACTATGTCGGGTACTCTACTATGTCAGGTACTCTTCTATGTCAGGTACTTGCTTCATTATCAGGTACTCTCTATTATGTCAGGTACTTGCTTCATTATCAGGTTCCCCCCCACAATGTCAGGCCCTCTCTCTACTATGTTAGGTACTCCCTACAATGTCAGGCACTCTCTCTACTATGTTGGGTACTCCCTACAATGTCAGGCCCTCTCTCTACTATGTTAGGTACTCTCTACTATGTTGGGTACTCCCTACAATGTCAGGCACTCTCTCTACTATGTTGGGTACTCCCTACAATGTCAGGCACTCTCTCTACTATGTTGGGTACTCCCTACAATGTCAGGCACTCTCTCTACTATGTTAGGTACTCTCTACTATGTTGGGTACTCCCTACAATGTCAGGCACTCTCTCTACTATGTTGGGTACTCCCTACAATGTCAGGCACTCTCTCTACTATGTTGGGTACTCTCTACAATGTCAGGCACTCTCTCTACTATGTTAGGTACTCTCTACTATGTTGGGTACTCCCTACAATGTCAGGCCCTCTCTCTACTATGTTGGGTACTCTCTACTATGTTGGGTACTCCCTACAATGTCAGGCCCTCTCTCTACTATGTTGGGTACTCTCTACTATGTTGGGTACTCCCTACAATGTCAGGCCCTCTCTCTACTATGTTGGGTACTCCCTACAATGTCAGGCCCTCTCTCTACAATGTCAGGCCCTCTCTCTACTATGTTAGGTACTCTCTACTATGTTGGGTACTCCCTACAATGTCAGGCCCTCTCTCTACTATGTTGGACACACTCTATATGTCAGGTACCCCCTACAATGTCAGGCACTCTCTCTACAATGTCTCTCTAAATAAAGTCCGGTACTATACCACCTGCTACAATGTGGGGCACTCTCTCTACAATGCCTCTCTAAATAAAGTCCGGTACTATACCACCTACTACAATGTGGGGCACTATGCCAGGTGCTTGTCCTCATATTGATGGGCTTCACCGTGTATACAGCAATGCTCCAGGTGTTGAGGTCTCTGTGTTTGCAATTACAGGTGTGTTAATAGTCACAGATATGTGTGGATGTTCTGAAAATAAACACTTTCACTGAATCTTGATTTGTCAATGCATATATATTATTGTTTGACACATTTAAGAATAACAACATACAGTACCACTATAAGGGTTTTCCTGTCCGACCATGATGCACGCTTATACCCTATGTTTATTGGAATGGTATGCATATACCAGTATCCTTATCGAATGTTGAGTGGTATATCTACATTGGGCCAAAGCTCATTCAAGGGTCCAAAACAATAATAAAAGCGATGAAACAATTTCCATATTCATAAGAAATCCTTGCTTGTAGCATGTGTTTCTGAATCACTATCAACTGATGATACCAGGTGTTCACAAAAAGGTAAGCGTCTCCTGCCTCACTGTGGTCCCCATCACAAACACATGCAAAGGCAAGTGAATTGTCCACCTTAAAGAAAACACATCGAACAGTCAAAACATTCCATATGAATAATGTCATACTCGAATATAAATAGTTTGTGTCTGAAAGAGTCCAGATAGCATGTGATAATTGGTTTGGCATACAGCCACAATGGCCTTTCGAAAGACCTCCTTCGAGTGTAGTTTATAGAGCGAGTGTAGTTTATAGAGCGTCTTCCCGGTGGTTCGATACCCTGGCAGCGTAAAAGACGTTGGAAGATTGTACTTGTTACCCAGCCTGCTGCTGGCACAAGCGCACACGCATACACACACACCATGCAGGTCACTGTAAAAGTGTATGAACGCGACCTTTAACCTCACAGTTACTTCCCTATTGGATATATATTGTGGGTACCTTTATTTGTCAACTCCACTCAACAAAGTTCATCCTTTTGTGAGAAAACTAGGACCTGTTCCATACATAAATGTAATACACAGCTTTCTTGTCTATGGCGCAGCATTTTCAGATTTGGGTACCTTAAGCGTGGTATTAATCACTGGATTTTCTGGTCCGGACTCGATTATTTACAGACCGCCGTCATATAGCTGAAACTTTGCTGAGTGCGGCGTTAAACAACAAACAAACAAACAAACGACACCTTCGGCGCACCAGGAACACAAAGTCTGTTCACCCAGACAATGTTTCTAGGTTTGTTAGGACCATACCACCGTGCTTTGGGTTACTGACTTTATTCTCTGTGTTCAGAGCAGCAAGCTAACGGGTGTTTACAGGCTTTGAGGGACATATCGCTTGTTTGGTTTCACCCTTAGTTTGTTGTTTGTTTGTTGTTTAACGCCGCACTCGTCAATATTCCAGCTATATGACGGCGTTCTGTAGATAATCGAGTCTCAACCAGTGATGGACATCATGAGCATCGATCCACGCAATTTGGATGCGATGACATGCTTCAACCACCCGATCATATTAGTCGCCTCTTACGACAAGCGTAGCCGCCTATTACGGCAAGCATGGGTTGCTGAAGACCTGTTCTGACCCGGATCTTTATGGGTCCGATATTCCAGCAATTTATGAAGACACTGTTGATCGTGTTCCCCTGATGGCATTCGTTGTTACTGCGTCAGACTCAGATCTCTGGACACTGACACAGCAGCCACCATCGAGCCTTACGTTCAGCAGGGTGGATTCCGCTGGGTGAAGAGCTTGAGAGACATTTGTCTCACTCTTTTTATTTGCAACGTCAGTGATCAAATTTCAAATCTTCAACAACATCCACGCGTCTGGAACGGCGATGCAAAGTAACGGCTTGATATTTCCTGTTGGATTCCGAAGTGTCACAATGTATAACTATTGGCAGATCATTGTTTCGTTAATGGATAGATGTTACAATTATCAGACTAATAGAACGTTTTGTTGAAACACAATTGGTCAGGCCCCGCAACTCGCTGTGCAGAGTCTCTTCCCTTGGACACACCAGGAACCTATGATTGTGGGTTCGCCCCGATTATGTTTCTAGGCTCCTGGGTTTCACCAAAGGAGTAAACGTCTTGAGACCTGCATCACGTCTGGCTTTTCTCTCACATTAAACTAACACGCCGTGATATAACTGGAATACTGACTGTTCAAATCGGCGTTAAATCCATATCACACACTCATTCACTCACTCTGTTATGACGGTGCGGAACGTTGCTTATACTATCTACCACTTGTATATCTGGTATATCTACACCTGGTATAACTGACCCACACTCGAGTATTACGGGCGGTAGTGACATGGTGAATGCTGACGTCAGCATACAACCACAAGCTAGACATTTAAAGGGACATCGTGTGGACTAAAAGCTCCTCCCCGTGATGTCGGACCGCTGTTGGTTGCGGCCATGATGACATTCTTCCGCATGACGAGTGTCGGTTAAACCAGTGAAGACTCCCCAACCATACTGTCGATGATACTCGACAATTTGTGATGTGGCCAAAATGATTTGACAGTACCGCTTAATGTTAAATGATCTGTTATATCAATGGATTTTCGTGTCAGAAAGAACTCGAGACTTTTCAATGGAGACTTGAAGGTACTGCTTTCTTCCATTACTGCCGACGTGAGGGGCTTAGTTCAAGTGACAGTGACGTGTTCTCTCGGGGAGGCGTGAGGCAGTAAGGAGACCTGTGAGCAGACGACACACACGAGGTGATAGATATATGTACGCTCTCCCAAACTGATCTCTTGTAAGTAAACTAGTTGATTGACAGGCTTCGAGTGGCAGCTTTTTCACCAGAATGATCCCGTGTAAGCTCCACGAGACTCTCATCCAAATTGGCGAGCACGCATCTGTTGTCCCTTGTATAGGTTTCTCTGCTGGAATTTTCTCGGGTGGCTTGTAATCTGTTGATGTTATCTTTCACAACACAAGCATTCGCTTCAAGTGGATAGTAAATAGACATTAAATTCCTCCGAGATAAGCTAGAGACCATAATAGGTGATAATTCTCTGTACAGACAGCGATCTGTTTGCGTCCTCGGATACATCCCATCCTCTTCCATACGCGAGGAGTACAGGACGTCCCTCCTTGCCCACGAGGCGAGCGACCATCTCATGAATCTGCTCAAGATTCAAGTGGGACTATCGCACATCTTCCAGCCGCTTCTTCAAGAGGATGTTTTACACCTGGATCGTGCCCCGAAGCCTGCCCGGGTACCGGGTGGGGCCGGGCAGAAGGGACGGGTACTTAGCCCATGATGTCTCACTCAACTCCTTAAGGAGTATGTTTTACATCTGGGTCGTGGCCCGAGACCGACTCGGATTCCGGGTGGGTCCGGCTAGAGGGTCCGGGTACTTGGCCCCCTGGTGTCTCAGTACACGCTGCCGCGTTGACAAATGGATACGTGAAGGAGGAGGGTCACCGCCGCAGACGCCGTCGTCGTGACGCGGTTGTTGGACACCAGGCATCCCTCCACCATTTATATGTGGGAGTAGTCGCGGAGATGCCTGGAGCGTGGGCTGTCGACTGTCTGAAGCTGGCTTGATAGATATACCCTCATCTTAATGTACTCTCCCCGTAGAACCTGGGCAAACTTATGTGGGTAGATGCACGGCATTAGACTGCGACAGACAGAAGGGTTACTTATAGTGCAAGTGAAGGTCTGAATCTGAGTGGATGCTCTCAGGAATATTGACCTTTTCAAGGATGACCAATACCAAAGGGAACGACAATTGAATATTCTAATTTTTTTCTATCTGAAACAAAATTATTCTCGTGGATCGTTGCTCACGTTTTGAATCACTGGTTTCCAATTGCACGGCCCAGACTCGATGTTTAGGCCGCAGTGACGTAGATGGAATAGTAACTGCCGCGTTAAACAACGTTGATTCTCTCTTTTGTGATCACTGCCTCACTCAATTGTACATCATATAGTATAGAAACCGTTTGTTATCAATAATTTTGAAACGTGACCTTTTATAAGGCGACGGCCTGTTATAAAACTTTAACGGATTTCTTAATTTTATCTTTGGAGACACTGGAGAGATGTAACGCGCGTCAAGAACATCAACTGTCCGGAGACAGCTTAATGTGGCTGCATGAGTGAAACATATGTTGAGAGTGTAGACCCAGTTTCCCCTGCGCGAATCATGTTTGATACAAACTGCGAATTATTCATAACAGAAGCTACTGTGAGGGACACCACCCACAAGCACTACTGTAAAAATCTCATTGGATGAACCATGGAGTAGGATTCAAGGTCAAAATAGATGGAAGCGGTTGCTACAGGGTCAGATTCAAGGTCAATATAGATGGAATGTTACAGAGTCAGATTCAAGGCAAAATAGATAGAACCGGTTGTTACAGAGTCAGATTAAAGGTCAAAATAGACGGAAGCGGTTGCTACAGTGTCAGATTCAAGGTTAAAATAGACGGAAGCGGTTGCGACAGAGTCAGATTTAAGGTTAAAATAGACGGAAGCGGTTGCTGCAGTGTCAGATGTTAGGTTAAAATAGACGGAAGCGGTTGCTGCAGTGTCAGATGTAAGGTTAAAATAGACGGAAGCGGTTGCTACAGTGTCAGATTTAAGGTTAAAATAGACGGAAGCGGTTGCTGCAGTGTCAGATTCAAGGTCAAAATAGACGGAAGCGGTTGCTACAGAGTCAGATTTATGGTCAAAATAGATGGAAGCGGTTGCTACAGTGTCAGATATAAGGTTAAAATATATGGAAGCGGTTGCTACAGTGTCAGATTCAAGGTTAAAATAGACGGAAGCGGTTGCTACAGTGTCAGATGTAAGGTTAAAATAGACAGAAGCGGTTGCTGCAGTGTCAGATTCAAGGTCAAAATAGACGGAAGCGGTTGCTACAAAGTCAGATTTAAGGTAAAAATAGATGGAAGCGGTTGCTACAGTGTCAGATTTAAGGTCAAAATAGATGGAAGCGGTTGCTGCAGTGTCAGATGTAAGGTCAAAATAGAGGGAAGCGGTTGCTACAGAGTCAGATTTAAGGTCAAAATAGATGGAAGCGGTTGCCACAGTGTCAGATTCAAGGTTAAAATAGATGGAAGCGGTTGCTACAGTGTCAGATTTAAGGTCAAAATAGATGGAAGCGGTTGCTGCAGTGTCAGATGTAAGGTTAAAATAGACGGAAGCGGTTGCTACAGTGTCAGATGTAAG